TGAGGCATCATAGCAAGTTCGTTCAATCTGCAGATATGTGCCAGGAGGGTAAGTGCTCTTGTAGTTGACCACACTGACCAGGGTTGTCCAGTTAAAGAACCATGAGAAGGAGAATAATTAAGCACATACTTAAACGTACTACTTTGTAAACTGCAACAGACCCACACTAGATTAACCTTATGTTGTCCACACTGGTTTGTGCTCCACAAATGTAACCCTTCATGTGTCAGTTAGATAAAACCATAATGTCACAATGTCCAGTGGGTGGTTTTTACTGTGTCCTTGGTGATTAATCTGTTAAAGGCACATGTCCAGATATTACAATTGAGCTGTTCTGGATAGTTTAACCTTCAGGTTGGAGGATTCCCTGTGGGCTTCCCTCCAAGGTACTGCTACAGTTGATATGCCTAGTTTAGATACAAGCACACCAGGGACTTATCACTGATAAGAGTTTCCAAAGTTTTCAGGACTAGAAAATGGTGCTTGTGGATAGTCCTTAAACCCTTAAGGACACATGACATGTCATGATTCCCTGTTATTACACAAGTTTGGTCCTTAAGGGGTTAAAATATCATATAAACCTATTTTTTTTCCTTGGCCTGTAGTAGCTTACACGGCTATACTTATTGCAGCATTTTAACAGTGTCTACGTTTTATGGATTTATGGGGTTTCGGATTCATTTGCTGTTTTTCTCTCCTCTATTTTTGTTTTGCAATATATGAATAAAGATTTACACTTTTACAACTATTTATACCTTTTTTCTAATTTGGCTCTGATCAAGATCCAGGCGGTCACTGATCCTGGTTACATTCCTATTCAGATTATATAGGTTTAGGGTTACCACACTTTTTTATTTTGGATAAAAGGTTTTGTGACCGTATATCAATAGTCCCTTTAAAATATTGGTGATTGTGATTGCTGTCATCCTTACATGGGCAACTGTGAAAGCGACACTATAGTCACCAACTTATTGTAACGGACCGTTTTGCCCAAAAGAGGTTAAAAACCGTTTAGGCGATATTCCTCTTTTCCAGCTGCACCAACAGCTACTGCAAGCACCAGTACAATCTCCTGAACTGCAAACCCACAAATTCACCAACTCCCGAACTGCAACCAAGGGAATACTCGAAAGTCCCGAACTGGAGACACACGAATAGCTGCTAGCAGACGAACAGGAAAAGCCCCCAAGCGGCTTACACTCCTGGCAATCAGTCTCTAACAGCATACAGTAAATCCTCCCCAAATAATGAGACGACACTTCACTTTGAGGGTTAAGCAGGAACTGATTTACTGGGGCTAACTGCCCGGCTTTTATGCAGGTCTCCCACCAGGTGGACACTCCCCTAGGGGACCAAATGGGAGACTGGGACACAAAGGGTAAAAGGACCAATCACAGACTTACACATTTCAACCATCCCACAATGCATCACAATCCCTCCTCTCTGCCCTGGAGATAATTTGGGAAGTAATTCAATTATATCCAAAGACAGAGGCAAAACTCCATTAACCACATGGCAGAAAACAAACAATAAAAGACATAAAATTACCTACAGTTACATTCAGTACATAAAACATATATGTTCTACATATCCCCAGATAGCTCAGGTCTGAGCGCACATTATTAAGCGAATGGCGCTCAGACCACACGAATACAGTTTAATCGCCATGGAGCCAAAGTCTTTACACAGTCAATTTCATGCGAATGGGCTCCATGGGATTCCTATCTGAGGCACAACACACTCAAACAAAACTACCGAACACCGGGCCGTTCGTGCACTTTCCCTGAACAAGAAGGGAGGTCGGCGGCTTCAGCAGTGTTCGCGCAAAACTGTGTCCGATTTCAGTTCCATGAATTAAGCGTCGAACACCGCTGTGCATTCGCGTGTTTAAAATGGCCGCTACCTCGTATTCGTGATACGAATGGCGGCCACCCAGCATTCGTCAATTAAGCTGCGGTTAACCGCAGCTTCAGGGAGGTTAATTGCCGGCACACTCCAGCTCCCAGGTGGTCTATTCATTCGTGCGATTGTTCGGTAGATTGAATCTACCGAACACCCGGCAGAAAAGCACGAATAAGTCTTTTCTGCAGGGAAAAAAGATGTCTTTTAACATGGGGCCATAGTCCAAAGGCAGCAGGCGAGCAGCCAGGCTTCTCCAGTGTACAGTGACGAGGTTGGTTTCGGCACACTTATTTAAGCAGTTTTGATGTATAGATCAGGCCCCTGCAGTCTCACTGCTGAGTTCTCTGCCATTTAGGAATCCCTATTTGAATCTCTTTACTTATACAGCCCAAGTTACATCTGCCTGCATGTGACTTACACAGCCTTCTGAAACACTTAATGAAAAGTGAAATCTAATAGTTATAATTCCCTTACCGCAAATTAGGTTTAATGTAGAATTTCTTATTTCCTGCACAGTAACATCTGATTAAAGTTGATTAAAAATGAAAACATGTTTTCATGCAAGCTCTGTCAGAAACAAAAGTGATTTAGCGCATAAGTGACAGAATTGAACAGTGAAACTTCAGAGGCATGATCTATACACCACAACTGCTTCATTAAGCTAACATTGTTTTGGTGAATATAGTGTATTTCTGTAAGGTTGTTTTTAAACCAGCAGGCAAACACTTTACCCAAATGTGCAACCAAAATTAAAGCAAGAGCAGCTTGAAATGTATGTAATAAATGTTTATAAATGTAATATATATTTTGTTTGCTTTCTCTGGCATGCCTTTTCTCATGCATGGCTAGTGCGTGCTAGTTCACTGAAAACTATGTGGAAGTTCATTACTTTTGCAATAAAAGAGTGTGAGATGCTGGGAATCAGGGAAGCAATATTGATCATCATACAGCAAAAATGCACACAGCACCTTCAAGGGTCGGCTGCACTACTGCAGGACTTGGGTCTAGCACAGGGCGGACTTACCCAGAGGGGGACACATAATGCACCGAAACCATCAAACACTTGAGAACAGGCAAGCCCTCTGCCCCCACCTCTCCCCCGCCCCCCGTTTTTACTGCAAAAGTCCATATAGGACTCATACGCTCATACGCTGCCGTATTACCACTAGAGTCAAGAAACGCGTAAGGTTGCATTTAAACTCACTACTGGGGAAGACATTGAGCGCAGGGGAATGCATATTGAGCCACAGTGGAACGCATGCGGCCAACCTCTCCTACACCCGAACAACCATCACGGACTCTCCAGCTGTCTGTGCAGCCGGCTTACCACAGGCAGCTTAACAGGAGTACCTAGACTGTTGGGAGAGAGACTTTATGCTCAAGACTATACTGCACCTCATGTGAGTGACTGATTTTATATTGAAAATTAAAGTTTAATCAAGAGAGCTCCTTTGTCTCTGTATTTTATATTTTGGAACGAATAAATGGATTATGTTTTATATAAAGACACGATCCTGGTCCTGTTAATCCTTATATACCTGTATACCTGCTCATCTATTTATGTATTGTACCATACTATTATCTATGTGGATTCTAGTTTGTTACTAGAGCACTTAGCTTAGCCTTTTTAAGAGCTAATATTCTAATACTATTTGGACTATTGGATGACACTACCATTGATTTGGACTATCGTCTACTATTGTCAAAGGTGATGTGTGTTACAGACAGGCGCTTAGAAAATATCGAAAAATGTAAGGTTACTATAGCAGCTACAACACTTATAGGTGGATCTTTCCAGTCAACAACTAGTTCAATATAATAAAGATAGGGAATTTAGAAGGAAGGTTAATGAGAATACCAACCACCTAAAAATCCCAAAAATTCCAAAAGTGGAGCGCTAAAATGATAATGTATACTCACCCCTACTGTTAAGGGTATTTCGTTGTGAGACTCAGCATAAAATATATCGTCGATGTATCGGTGATAGAGAACCAGGCCCGCATCCCAGCCACGCCAGCCATAGAAAAATTATTTTTCCCATAATGACATAAAAAGGTTGGCGTAGCTGGGTGCAAATCTGGTGCCCATCGCCGTACCACACACCTGACTATAAAACCTATCCTCAAACCAAAAATAATTGTGTGTTAAAATCCACTGTATACTCTCGACAATAAAATCAATTTGGGTCTGGGGAAAAACCTTAAAAAATTCAAAAATGTTGCGTAGCTAAACAACCTCTCTCATGCGTAAAAATAGTATAGAAGGAGCTAACATCTGAGGTGACTAAAAAATAATCCTCCTGCCATACTTGATCTTTTAAAATAGTTAAAAGGCTCAGAGAGTCCCTCAAATGTCTCAGTAAAACACTGGAGTCCTCAGATTTAAAATATTTTACAAAAATATTTTTTTTTTTTTTTAAATTCTTTATTTTCTGTGCATTGAGAAATGTGACAAAAGCATAACATACTTGAGCTGCCTTTTCAACATAGGCAGATTAGTAAATAACAATTGTTTTGCCAAGGGTCTGGATCAGTCTATACGTTTTACACTTATAACATATCAGGAGCATAGGATTGGCAGCAAGTATGTAGTATGAGTTTTTTTGTTCTATGGTCGGAGGGATTAGCTTGCGTCCTAGTAGTCAGGAAGAACTTGTGGTCATGTTTCTGCACTTTTTCTGGTTTTCTAATGTGTCGAGTGTGCCCATGCGGTAGGTTCCCATAGGGTGAACTGGTTGTGAGTGATTGTGTCTATGTTGCTTGGGTCCTGTGAGTGGTTAAGTGGCACTCCTCTCTGTGGTTTGAGGGAGGGTGTTGGCGATTGTAAAGTGCTGTTGTTCGTCGTTGGTGAAAATTGTATATGTGCGTCTGTCTGTGCCTGAGTGTGGGTTTTGTGTCGCGCTTGCTATGCTTGGGTTAGTAGGTAGTGTTGGCCCTTAACCTAAGAGGGTCGCGGGGGTTGGGAGATCGTCTCCGACTTTGTATGGGGAGTTAATAGTAAAATGTCGTATTTTGGTAGAGCAATAGGGTGAGATCAGAGAAGAGGAGAAAATATCAGAGCATGGAAATAAAATTAAGAGGTAAACAGTTTAAGGTGTTCAGGTCTCTGCCTCCGGTCTCTTGTTGCCCCTAGGGACGTATGGTACTATTCTGTCCGGGTCCCATGAGTGGGTGGCTTGCGTTGGTCCTGGTGTTGGGGCGTTCTGAGTTAGTCCCAATTTTTGGAGAAGCGCTGGGGCCTCCGAGAGTGAGGTGAGTTTTAGAACCTCTTCTCCGCTGAATACCACCAGGGTTCTTGGCAACAGCCATCTGTATTCTACGTTCCCCTTCTGCAGTTGTTCCGTTATGTTGCTCAAGGACTTTCTCCAGAGTAGGGTGCTCCGCGTGATATCTTGGAAGAAGGTAAGTTGTGAGGCTTCGAAGGCCAAGGGTGTCTTGTCTCTCACTGCTGCTAGTATGCAGCGTTTGTCTGTCATGGAATGGCAGCGGACGATGACGTCCCTTGGGGCCGTTGTGGGTGCCCTTTTTGCTTTGTTAATGCGGAAGTGGCTGTCGAATTCCAGCTTTTTGGCTTGTGTATGTGGCAGTATTGTGGCTGTGAGTCTCCTCAGGTACTGTGGTAATTCGGATGGTCCCACTGCATCAGGGATACCCCGAATCTTAATATGTGTGCGCCTGTTGCGATCTTCCATGGCGTCTAGCGTGTTTTGGAGCGCTAAGTTCGCTGTCTGTAAATGTTTCAGGGCGTCCCCCATGCTTTTCACCTCCTGTCGGAGGTCTAGTATGTCTTCTTCAGAGGCCTGTACTCTTGCCGTCACCGCCTGCGTCTCTGTGCGGATTAAGTTTATGTCGGTGTCAAACAGCCCCTTCATCTCCTGTAATAGGAGTCTGATGTCCCTTTTAGTGGCTGGGGCTGAGTCATCCCCCTCTGTTTGTGGGCTGCTGGGAGCTTCAGCTCTCATGTCTTTGCTGCTTCCCTGGGACAGCTGTACTGAGTGTGTGGGGCCAGGGTCCTGGTCTTGTTCGGCCGCCATTTTGTGGCCTGCTGTGCGTTGCAGCAGAGTCCCAATATCTTGGGAGTCCCTGGGTGCGGTCTGTTGTGGCTTCTGTGTTCGCCTCCCCATATCGTTGTCGGGTGAGTGGTGACCTGCCCGCTGTCCGCACCCGTCTTCCAGGCTCAGGGGGATCCCCGCGGGTAGCTGCGATGCCGGCGGGAGAGTGAGGTAGGCCCGGGATTTGCGGACTCGTTTTTTGCCCGGTTGTGGGTATAAAAAGGGCATCGGTGGGTTGCCCTGTGAGCCCTGGGATTGTAGCTGTGGGTCCCGCGGGTCGATGGCCCCCCCTACCTGAGATGCGCGGCAGATTGTGTCTTGGTGCCGGGGAGCCGTGGATGATGGCGTCCATTCGGCTCCGTGGTTAAGCTCCGCCCCCAAAAATACATTATTTTTTATTTAAAATTCCAAGCAATTTCCCTTTATCTATAAGTGCAGAGTAACTCTTTTTAAAGTCTCCTATTGGGTCCTTATTTAAAATCTGATATGTCTTATTGTCACCTAAGAGGCGTAGGGATTCTTTCATATATTCTTCTTTTTCAAGAAGCACAATACCTCCCCCTTTATCTGCCGGTTTTATTACCAGGGTGTCATCCTCTCTAAAAAAAAATTAGGGCTTCCCTTTCTACCTGACTTAAATTATAATCTTGTCGCTTTAATTTACCCACTTTCTGAACGTCATATATAACCATTTTTTCAAAAGTGGTGATCTCGTCAGAAACTTCTTTGGCTTAGAAAAACATTTTTTTTAAACATAATTTCCGTTTAAATTTATTTAAATCTATGTAAAAATTTAATTTATCCAATGTTTGTGTAGGGGCAAATTTTAAACCTCTGTTTAACCCCTTCAGGACACATGACGGAAATATTCTGTCATGATTTCCTTTTATTTCTGAAACTGTGTCTTTAAGGGGTTAATAGGTCTGTCTGGGGTTTTGAGAGTGTTCTTTTAGTGAGGTTGAAAATACCACTTTGTTTGATTGCGGGCGTGGCTGGGATGCGGGCCTGGTGCTCTATCACCGATACATCGCCGATATATTTTTCATTTGGAAGGGGGATGAACCTTCTCTCTGTGATTTTTTTAGCTTTTTAAACCACAACGACTGGGGAATCCAGTTGACAAGTGATTTCAGTAGATCAGAGGTTAATTTTTTTTAGACTTGAATATTTATGTGGAGGAGGGAAAAGTTAAGACGAGAACTTATTTTAAACCAGTTGATGAGAACAGCTACGTAGAAGAAGGGAGCTGTCACTTTTTCCCATGGCTAAGTAATGTACCGAAGTCACAACTCTTAAAACGCAACTGCACGGAGGAGGGGGATTTTAACCAACAATCCAAGAGAATTTTAAACGATTTTAGCAAAAAGGGTATGATAAAGAACTTTTTTTTTTTTAAATTCTTTATTTTTGCAGTGCAAATATACAGGGAGTGCAGAATTATTAGGCAAGTTGTATTTTTGAGGATTAATTTTATTATTGAACAACAACCATGTTCTCAATGAACCCAAAAAACTCATTAATATCAAAGCTGAATATTTTTGGAAGTAGTTTTTAGTTTGTTTTTAGTTTTAGCTATGTTAGGGGGATATCTGTGTGTGCAGGTGACTATTACTGTGCATAATTATTAGGCAACTTAACAAAAAACAAATATATACCCATTTCAATTATTTATTATTACCAGTGAAACCAATATAACATCTCAACATTCACAAATATACATTTCTGACATTCAAAAACAAAACAAAAACAAATCAGTGACCAATATAGCCACCTTTCTTTGCAAGGACACTCAAAAGCCTGCCATCCATGGATTCTGTCAGTGTTTTGATCTGTTCACCATCAACATTGCGTGCAGCAGCAACCACAGCCTCCCAGACACTGTTCAGAGAGGTGTACTGTTTTCCCTCCTTGTAAATCTCACATTTGATGATGGACCACAGGTTCTCAATGGGGTTCAGATCAGGTGAACAAGGAGGCCATGTCATTAGATTTTCTTCTTTTATACCCTTTCTTGCCAGCCACGCTGTGGAGTACTTGGACGCGTGTGATGGAGCATTGTCCTGCATGAAAATCATGTTTTTCTTGAAGGATGCAGACTTCTTCCTGTACCACTGCTTGAAGAAGGTGTCTTCCAGGAACTGGCAGTAGGACTGGGAGTTGAGCTTGACTCCATCCTCAACCCGAAAAGGCCCCACAAGCTCATCTTTGATGATACCAGCCCAAACCAGTACTCCACCTCCACCTTGCTGGCGTCTGAGTCGGACTGGAGCTCTCTGCCCTTTACCAATCCAGCCATGGGCCCATCCATCTGGCCCATCAAGACTCACTCTCATTTCATCAGTCCATAAAACCTTAGAAAAATCAGTCTTGAGATATTTCTTGGCCCAGTCTTGACGTTTCAGCTTGTGTGTCTTGTTCAGTGGTGGTCGTCTTTCAGCCTTTCTTACCTTGGCCATGTCTCTGAGTATTGCACACCTTGTGCTTTTGGGCACTCCAGTGATGTTGCAGCTCTGAAATATGGCCAAACTGGTGGCAAGTGGCATCGTGGCAGCTGCACGCTTGACTTTTCTCAGTTCATGGGCAGTTATTTTGCGCCTTGGTTTTTCCACACGCTTCTTGCGACCCTGTTGACTATTTTGAATGAAACGCTTGATTGTTCGATGATCACGCTTCAGAAGCTTTGCAATTTTAAGAGTGCTGCATCCCTCTGCAAGATATCTCACTATTTTTTACTTTTCTGAGCCTGTCAAGTCCTTCTTTTGACCCATTTTGCCAAAGGAAAGTAAGTTGCCTAATAATTATGCACACCTGATATAGGGTGTTGATGTCATTAGACCACACCCCTTTTCATTACAGAGATGCACATCACCTAATATGCTTAATTGGTAGTAGGCTTTCGAGCCTATACAGCTTGGAGTAAGACAACATGCATAAAGAGGATGATGTGGTCAAAATACTAATTTGCCTAATAATTCTGCACTCCCTGTACATTACAGGCTGGCGAGAGGTGCCCCAAAAGCAGTCCTCTGGCTTTTCCCACGCTTGACATGCGGGGCACATGGATAACAGGCACAATTTTTAAACATGCTTAAACATTAGGATTTAAACGTAGATTGTGATTACAAGTTAGAAACTTGCTAGAGCTTCAATAGTTAAAACAGTACTTTAGGTATCAATATAAATTTTTATGTTAATAAGTCAAGAGGGACTTTTTGCAGCACCATCTAACTTTCAGTATAGTCGTCTTAGTAACGTCTGTACAGCTTAACATGTGCTAAGTGTGAAAGTGTAGGTGAGACATGTTTGATAACAGCGTTGATAGCTGGTTTACGACTCCTCTTGTAGATTTACACGCTGTCCATGCCCGTCTTATGCGTTATAATTACAGAGTACGAGAACATGGAGCGTTAATAGGGCATGTATAGCTACATACGGCTAAACTAAAAAACTTTGCTGATAAGGCTCGATTGATCTAGGAGTCAAGGCGTCCCGTAAGCTGCCAGACACATAGGTTATTTGGCATGACTTTGACCAGTGACAGGCTATCTAAAAACACGGCTATTAGGAGACATAAGATTATCATGCAGGTATCTGTAATATCTGCCCTCGTCTTGCCCCTGTCTGTGGGTGACTTCGCCAGGTCATCAGCCAGTGTAGGTTGTACATTAGTGGTATACATAGGTTACCTTAACGTAAGGTGTTAAGATCTTGTCGGGCCTAAACATAGTATGAGGTCACACATGAATACCGTATCCTACGTCTATGTTATTAAGCCTTGTTCATATTAAACAGGGCAGAGATTGGATAGGTTGGCCGTACATGGCGACTAAACATATATATTTACAGTTCAGCTGTCAGTGTAGGATAGGACATACCGTAGGGCTATGCGTCTGAAACTACCTTACCAACTTGAGACCTTTCCTGGCTCGGTCAATAAGATATGTGGCGTTCGGCCACCTTCGACTGGTAGGAGACTACTGTTTAGTGGGAGCTGAAAAGTACCTATGGTATCTGGTCAGGGCTAGTTAAGTGCCAAAACGAGACAATACAAAACAGAACAAATGATTCAAAGCTGGTTGGAGACATGGGCAAAATATCAGACATTCTGAGCGGTTATTTAACTGTGGAACTATTGCAGATGATGTGGGACCAGCCTCTGCCCTCCATTATTGCTAAGTTCGCGAGGCGTCCGGTTGTCGAGTGTCCGTCTGCTGCTGGGGGTGTTTTCTCGGTGCGGTGAAAGCACTGTAAAGCTTGTCTAGGGATCGTGTCCATGAGGGATAGGGTTGAGACAGTAACTAAAAATCTAAATGCAACTGATCATTAGTCCTCCCTGGGGGATTGTTGTGGTTCGG